TATATGTATATATATGTATATATATATATATTTTTTGGGGTGGTGGGGTATTTTCCAGGCATTTAGACCAATTCTATAACACAATCAAGTAACTATGTTACCTTCACTTTTTATGAAAATCAAAAATAAATTAGACTTTGGGTCACAGCCTATATAAACGGAATTGGGCTCTGTCTCCTTAAGAACCTCCTACCATTTCTGACTCTCCCACTTCAGCACATCTTCAAAACAATGCTTCAGGGGAGGGCTGCTCTGTGGGGCAGGAGCTCAGCTGCAGACTGGTGTTACAACCCAAGTTCAGACTGAGCTCCTCCCTGGAGCTGCAGACTGAGCTCCAGGGAGGAGCTTTGTGTAAATAGGTGGAGCTTCGTACCAGGAAGTGTTATATCAGCTGCACTTGGCTACCACAGGAGATTCAAAGGATTTCTCAAACAGGCATGAATGAGTCAAAGCAACACTCTGGATATATTGGTGATGAGGGAATGACMTTGTAACATAATATAAAGCTCAAAATAAGCACCTCCTGCCCCCAAYCTTTAAAACACACCTATATCAGTTCCTTAGATTAGTCAGCTGAAAGCAAATATGGGAAAAAAACGTTCCTAATTTGTTTACATGTGGATGTTTTTTTTTACTACAGAGTTTGATTCCGGGTCTGACATGAATATATAGGCTTGTGGTGTTTTACCTGCTCTGCGCAGCGGCGTCCCCTCTGAGACCTCAGACAGAGACTGTGAAGGAGGTGAAACTAAAGCCTGAGAGGACACACTGGGGTCTGGACCCAAATTCCTGGAAAAGTTAAACACATAAATATACACTTGATGTAAAAAAGAGACACCAAATATGATAGAGAATTGATTTCAAATTTGTGAAAGTGCTTTTTAAAGGACTGTAAATGTTTAAACATTTACAAACCTGAGCCTGTAAARCAGGAACAATGATTAAAATAATATAAACTCAATGTAATGGTTTGCAAATCTCATAAACCTATATTTTTATTTACAGAACATAATAAAGGTGTCAAAACCACATTTTTTTTAGAACTGTGGTWGTGCGTGTGGGTTTACGATAACTTTTAGAGTTTTGGCTCACCTGTAGGGCACAGGAAGTGAAGTCAGAGCGTTCGAGGTTGTTCGTTCCAGCAATGCCTGCTTCTGCTTCTTGAGAATCACCTCCTGGAGTTTCTGTTTTACCAGTGAACTCGCCACAGCACCTGTCAATCAACACAGACCAGTCAGAAACCTCAGAGGAAATCACCGACGTGCAGCACGCAGCGATAACTGGTGCACAACCAGCACCTGTTTGCATTTCTGTGAAGGACGCGATAAGAAACATTGTGATAAAGACGGTGCATGTGTCGGTAAGCAAATACCTGCAGGACTGTGAGGTCACATGTTGGTCTGAGTGCATTTTTGCCATTATTCGTGTTCTTCGTGTGTGTGTGTGTGCACGTTTGTGTATTTTTGTGAGCGCATGCACACAGATGTGACAGCAGGTGCTAGGAGAGATCAAGTCAATATTGACCCAGTGACTTTATTTGCTCAGACCCAACACTTTATTTAACCCCGCTGGTGTAGCTCCACTTGTCAGGTTATTTTTAGTGCTTATATCAAAGCAAACAGCTCTGAAAACGAGATGGCGTAGTTCATCACCGTTTAAAGTAACACAACTTTCTGCGGGGACTTTCCTCTCTGGCCACGATTACCACGCTCAGAGTTATTTTAAAGGTGACACAGAAWAAATAAATCTATTTCCGGCAATAAATTAAAAACGTGTAAAATGTCAAAAGGTTCACAAAGTGTGGGTTCGGCTTTGGTGACATTCGGGGGCAATTTTAAGACAAAAATCCTACGTTTGGGGACAACTGGTGCATTTGGGGACAAAAGTCGAGTCCCCATTTGGTTTAAATGCCATTGGTGGGTTGGGGGTTGGGTTTAGGACCAAGTTGTGAACTAAGTTTAGGTTAGTTTTAGGGTCAGGTAGGTACCTGTGAGGTTAGCCTTAGGGTTTGTGGTCAGGGTTATGATGTAGAAATGTAATGGAAGTCAATGGAATGTTCCCAATTGGATAGCTGTGCAAACTTGTGTGTGTGTGTGTGTGTGTACCCACTCTGTTGGCTTTTGTCCTTGTGTTTTAGTTGCTGCAGCTCCTGTTGTTTCTCGTGGTGCTCGTGTTCTCGCCTCCTCTGTTCCATGTTAAACTAGCCACACACACCGAGACAGATTTCAGCCACGAGTAGTCGGCTTATCAACGTCACATTTTTTTAAATTTATTTATCGCATCTTTTAATGCTTTACCCTGATTTGCTGGTGCAGTTGCTGCTGGGAGAAGGAGGCGCGGGCCTGCGGGGAGAACGGCGTGAGGTGTATGGTCGGGTGCAGAGGAGTGAGGAGCGCCGTGTCCGAACCAGGGCGCATCCCCCGCTCTCCCACCCTGAGGTCCATGGGGAAAAACTGCGTGTTGGACGCGGGCACCGCCACGGAACCTGGAAATAAAAACAGGGGAAACAAAAGGGTGTCATTTTATGTCAAAACAGGTGATTTACACCAGATGTTCTCAAACTGGGGTCCCAGGACCCTCAGGGGTCCGCAAGAGGTATCTTGGGGGTCCTCAAAAAGTTTCACTAAATTGTTAATTTGGTTTTTATTTTTTAAAAATGCATGGGGAACAATGAACTAATAAAACAAACATAATAAAGTAAATAAAAAACATATGTTCCCATGGCATTTAGGGGTTGAAATGACGGTAAATTATCTTTTAAAACAGTGTGGGGTTTACGAGGGGTCCTCAGACCAAAAAATGTTTGAGATCCTGATTTAGACAATATGCAAACATTAAAGTAAATACTTAATGCTCCCTTAGAAATCAGCAGGGGAAAACACATTGAGATGCTGGTATTTAAAGGCACTACACTGCAAAAAATGTCCATCTAACTAAGTTTTAAAGGGATCCACGATTAGTTGTAACATTAGACTTTATTTGATAAACATATATTTTAACTGTAAAATAAAGACTGTAAAAATACTGTAGGCTGTTTAGTTTTGTGAATTTTTTAAAATATATTTTAACACGGACGGAGCCATTTTATTTACACTCAAAGCATTCTGGGTAAATGATGACGTGGATAGGTCCTCRGTGCGAGGCTGCTAGCGAGCTATATCCACCCTGAAGGTTAATCTTGGACAATATCTGATGATCGACTCTTTTAACTGAAACCAGAGTTTAAAAGTTATAAAAACTAAACAGCCTACAGTATTWTTAGTCTTTATGTTACAGTTAAAATACGTTTATCAAATAAAGTCTGATGTTACAACTAATCCTGGATCCCTTTAAAATCTTTTATTAAGACAAAAAATCTTTTAGTTCGTGTTTTGAGACTGTTTTACTAAAAATAAAAAAAAGGAACAGAATGTGTAAGCTTATTTATTTTGTTAGCCTGGAAATTTGGCTCAAATGAAGTGGAAAAAAATCTGCCAGTGGAGTAAAATCATTTTAATTTTTATTTAAGACATAAAGATTTTATTTTAATACATAAGGATTTAAACAAAAGCGTCTTMCTTTCCAGGCTAACAAGATAAATGAATCAAAACAAGATCAAAAAGATATTTTGGGCTGGATATAAGATTTTAAAACTTGGGCAGCTTTTGCAGTGAAGTTTTGTTTAATTCACTGGTTTGGAGCTTTCAGCCGCCTGTTCAAAACACCAGAGAGGAAAGTCATCAGCCATGATGGCAGATAAGCAACTGTTGCTGCCCATCATTCTCAGATAAGCTGCAGTGCCGTTTCCCAACACTTTGGAAACTATCGTTCTGCACTGAGACAGATGATTCACAAGTGGGAAACGTTCAAAACAGCTGGCAACCTTCACTGACGTAGACTTCCCAGCAACTACACCCCAAGTTYAGACTTGTATGGAAGGGCTGACAGAAGAAGGAATCTGCATTCTCAAAGGAACGTGGCGATAATGGTCTGGTTTGTGAAATAACYTCTTAAAATGACCTCAGAAACACATTGCGTCATGTTTGGAGACATCTTTCTCAAATAGCTTATAGATACCGTCACGCACGGTGGAGGAAGTCTGATGATTTGGAATCGTTTCGTAGCCACGAGATTTGCGTCAACTATGAATTTCTTCTCGTAAACTAAAGTAGTTTATCAGACAGAAATCTACTGTAGCTGATATAGGAAGCTCGGCTGAAATTCACTCATGCATTAGAGCTTTTGTGCTTGTGCAGTTCTTAATCTTGAGGACCACCATCTCATGTTGTTCATCTGAAGTTGTACTTACAGTATACTTACTTCCATAAAATAAACTATGCACATTTTTGTAATGTTACATCTTAAAACCAAAATTACCATTTTGTCTATGAATGTAAATAACCTTTCATCATATTTCAACAAAAAGATGAGAGGAAATACTGTTTACTACCTAGCTCTAAAAATAGACATGTCGCAACAAAGTGTTTTTCTTTCTTTTCTTTTCCATTAACGGAAGCTTTGTTGTTTCTTTTCCCTCTTGAAGTTAAGCATGACTGATCAAACAGGATTGAGCCGGATGTGGACAAAAAAAAAAAAAAAAAAAATTACAGAGCTCATCCAACAAGTCTAAAACGCCAAGTTAGCTTTTTTTTTATCTATTTATTTATCTTTGTAGCTTTATCTCTACTTCTACAAAAGCCAACTGATAAAACAGTTTTGGCCTAAAGTTTCCTGAAGCTTTTTTTTTTAACTAGCTTCTGGCTGCACTGGAAACAAACCAACTGGCAGTTGCCTCAGAGGCAAAATAATAAAACTCTGGATGATGCATTTCTAGAATTACGACAATAAAACTGTGATTTATAGCTGTGATATTTTAAGACATAGCCTATTTCCCATAAATGCACGACGGATCAGCGGTTAGCAGTGATGCCTCACAGCAAGAAGGTCCTGGGTTCGATCTCCGTTGTGGACCTGGGAGTTTGCATGACTTCCTCTTGCTTGCGTGGGTATTCTCCGGGTACTCCAGTTTCTTCCCACAGATCAAAAACATGAATGATAGGTCACTTTCAGGCCCAGGCCTCCCTTGAAAATTAGATTTGTGATTTCAGTGGGATTTACCTGATTAAATAAAGGTTCATAAATAAATAAATCATAGTAAGAACTGTCCTACACATTGTTAAAACCAAAATCACACAAAGAAAAAAAAGGGGATAAAAACTTGATAAAGTCTAGTTAAAACTATAATGCTGCGTCCCATTTGTACAAGGAAGTTGGAATTTCCAATTCTGAAGCTGGAAGTCCGACTCCAAAAAATAGGAAGTTTCTCACCACCTCAAAATCCAACAAGGCTGCTGCAGAAACTAACTATTATTATTCACTTCTGGCAGTTTGTTTTTCGCTGCTCACACAGTTCTATACTACCTGTATTAGTGAATATGTTGCTCCAGTCTTTGAATCCATAAAATACAGGGAAATACATTGATATTAGATTGTACTGCTAATAATAGTTGACCAGGTCACCGAGCACAATTAGCAAATCCCAATGGCTTTATGACTTGGAACTGGAACATGGTTAAGTTAGGAGAAGTGTCGTTCATAGGTCTGACATTTGAGGCAAATGGAACCAGAGGTAGGAGGTCAAATCTATTTTTATCTGCGTCACAGACCACGAAGATTTCTAATCAATTTTCAAACGTCAAAAATGGATTTTGTGAAAAGTAGTCTGTGCTTCCACTTTAAGAGAATCAGCAGAGTAATTGCTTGGTAGTGCTGTTCGTATGAGCAGGGTCACAAAGGCTTCCTGTAATCAAAACATATTGCAGTAAAACTGTTTCCATACCCGTTTCATTTTTTTCCCCTTTGCTGAACCTTGAAAAATATAGTCTATCTAAAGATTCCCACCCTTAAATGGAACACAATTTAAAAAAAAGAAATAAAAAAACTCAATGACAAAAAGAAGCAACTCCGGCTATTTTGTTTGATTGTTCACGCACGGTATCCGCCGTTTGTCTATTCCCGTCGCAAACACATTTTCCTACTCTTTGCATGCTGTTTGCATGGCACGGCCGAGTCAGTGGGAAAGACTGGCCCATCCGGAGCTAAATACAGGATGGAGGAAGGGAACAGCTTGGGAAAAGGCCGGGGGTGGTTTCTGCACATGACACACACATGCAGGCAGATGCTCTGGTCTATTCACAAAAAAAAAATTACAGTGACTCACATCAACACAAAAACATAGCTTTAAGTGGTTCCGGTCATCAGACAAACTGACTTCACATTAACATAAATACATATGTGGAACAACAGTAGCAGGAAACACCAAATGCTATACTTTATCCATTATTGCTGCCATAGAAYAACAAAGATGGCCGCCACAACTAAATGATAGTAGCCAATACAAAAATGGATATAGTTCAGTCAGTTTTTGCAGATATTAAACCAGGGGTGCCCAAACTTTTTCCTCAAGAGGGCCAAAATAAAAATCTGCCCAAGGGCTGCAACCAAACGCAATAATTATAATACATGAAATGAATAGAACAGAATAGAACAGAATAGAAACAGCCTTTATTGTCGCACATGGGGAAATTCCGGTGTAGTAGCAGCAGCAGATACATATATCAATCCACAAAACTGTATGTTGCCATGGGACAATATAAATAGTAGCAACAATAATAGAATTAAAGATTAAAGATTGTAACTATCAAAATAAACGTAGATCAAATACAAAATAAGAGTAATAATTACAGTACTGGTAGTACCGGTCCATGAAGGAAAAATTAGATAAAAATGAAAGCAAAAAATAAGCTACTGTGCAGAAAGATACAAAATTACAGGAAATAACTGTCATGACTGACTTGTGGAAAATAATTCCAAATGCAAATACTGTATTACTAAATATTTAAGCTGCAACCTAAATATTTAGGTAGCTAGCTAAATATTTAACTTAAATATTTAGGTGGCTAGCTAAATATTTAAC